AAACTCTATAGGAGTTATTGTTAAATATATTTTCTATTATATCACATCTTTTATTTCTTATTTTCTCACCGAACTAGCCACTGTCCTGATTTTGTGTGAGTATTAGAATATTGATTTATTAGTTAATATGTTAGTTTTTGATATTTTTGCAAACAATCAGACGCGGCAGGGGACTATGTTTTATATGTTTAGATTTAAAAAAGAAAGATTCAATTTTACTGTGTTATTATTGTTTTTGTGTTATATAATATCCATTATACTAATTTAATAATATATCTTGGATTATAAATATTCGTTAACTCTCTTCCACTTGACTTGAATTTAATAAAAGCAGTAATTCAGTTTTTGTGTATATCTATCACAAACATATAAAAATTATTATTATAACATAAGTATACGTATTTATTTACTATATTTTTATTACTAAGAGGCTAGGAAAATTAATAATACAATATATATTTAATCACATTATTTTGATTGTGTCTTCATTTACATATACAAGCTTAGCCACATATGTTTGAACTACTGTTAAATTGTTCACTCCACTTTTGTAGTAGCTAGGGTGTTGAAATGGGCTTATTTTAATTTTAAATCAACGTTAATCCACACAGATGGTTGGTTTGCACGGCGAAGAAATTAGGACTCGGGGAGTTTGGTGAAATATTAATTATGCAATTTAAAGTAGAATTCGGATTTATATTGTTTGCTCTTCTGCCACTGATGTTGGAGATAATTTATAAAATGCCGTATTTTTTTAGACTCTGATTTTTTTAAACTCTAGATTAGAATGTTTTGTCTTACTTTGATGAACAAGAGAGATAGCGAGAACTGTTTGGTAGAACAATTATATTAAGGTATTAGTCTAATAAAATATATTTTTCTTCTTTAATATACAAATATTTATAAACAAAATATCTTTTATATCTATACGTCAAAGACATACGAACTAGTTTTCAAAAATACTTTTTGGTTGTTTGGAATGTATTTTGTTATCATACGTTTTTTTTTATAAATTACCTTTATCTACAAGAGGATTTGTACCGTGTCATAATAACAATTAATTCGTAATGTATAAAAATGTTTGGGCTTATCAACCATGACAATGTGACAAAGTCTTTACATCTAATTGCCCGTCACTATATATAGGTACTAATGGTCTAGTAGCGTGTCACAATTTTCAGACAGTTCACCGAAACAAGATATTATTGGCAATTAAATTTCAGTTACGGCATGTTCACGTTATCTGATGAAACGTTATTGTTTGTCAAGTTATAATAAAATACTCGTCACATTATCATGTTTCAAATAACCGTAATATCTATTTTTGTTTAATAAAAAAAAAACTAATTTCAATTATAACTATGATGAAAACGTCCATATTCAACGTGATGATGTTCATACATATGGGTAATGGTTACCATTTTCCATAAGTAGACTTATTGACTTGCGGCTTCAAAAGATAAAAGTTTCAGAATATCTGAATTCTATTTTTTATGTAGTTTATATCTCTCTGAGTTCAAGTAAAATCGTATCGCGAGTTACCCATTAAGGCTTGCCATTCCAAGGGACTAAGATTATGCTAATTCATTATTTGAGGTATAAATATAGAATGCTTTCTACGCCAATGGCATACACTTGCAGAGCACCAATGGAAGTTGACGACATCTGTGGTGTTGCTATACTGCAGCACCATAGAGGTCGTACACCACTTTACCTCCAACAGTCACAGGTTCAATTCCTCTTAGGATATAAACATTTATATTCATGAGTATGATTTTGTATTAGTTTGGAGATGTAGTATTTTCAAATCAAAATATTTAAGTAATCGTATCCATTGACTAATATCTGTAACACAAGCTGCTTATGTCACTAGATGTCATTGTGTGAATTATAAAGACGTTATTATTATTAATTCACAAAAAGTATACCGATCTGAAAGTCAGTAGTACATGAAAGTGAACAATTTTCCCTAAGTAATTAGCTGAAATCCAGCTGGGCTAAGATAACACACCTCTGTGCCCTGTAATTACTTCCATTTGATACTATACAAACCACAACAGAGCTTACTGAGTAAGATGCTTGGCGGAGAAGTAACAGAGATACTTTTGTTTAATTCCACTATCAATAGCATATGTGAAGCGTGCGCAAGCGCAGCGAGCGGACGTGTTCACTTACTTCTTATCTTAATAAATAAATGTAAAATAACTAGTGACAACAAATAACAACACTAAAGTATACTAAATCTACGGAAAGTGTATATTATCGTACTGTGTGATTAATCGTTACAAAAAAGTGTTATAATAGTTTTGTGATTAATATATCAGACCGACAATTTATCTAATACCTGCCATTATTAACATTCAGTATGCAACGGTCACCACAAAATAAGCGTTATGAATCAGATCCTGATTTATCAATCCTCACATCAAGGAAACGTAAAAATGATCATGATATCAACGAGTCTTTCAGATTATTTACTGAAAACGTACTAAAAAAAATGGAAGACTTGAAAGGGGAATTCAATTGCAATCTATTACAAATCAATGATACCCTAAATAATGTTATCATAAAAGATCTAAATAACCTAAAAGAACAGACCTTAGAACTAAAAACAGAGGTCAACAACATTCGTAAGGATTACAGTGACATAAAGACCAGCTATATGAAGTTGGACAGGCGTCAAAATGAAACACATAAAGAAATTGCCACAATTCAGAAAGCACTACAATTTACCTGCGAGCAACAAGATGAATGTACAAAAAAATTTGAAAAAATGTATAATACAATCAAAAGTGTCGACTGCTTCGAGGAAGAGATCAATAATCTAAAATTACAAAATCGGCAGTTAATCTCAACAATAAACACAAACGAACAAAGAAATAGGCAACTAAATATTGAAATTGTAGGTGTGCCTGAATTTACCAATGAAAATATAAAAGACAGTGTCATAAAAATTGTAAAAAGACTCGGTATGGATATTCAAGCAAGTGACGTTTTGCAAGTAAATAGAATCACTCCAAAAATAAAACTCCAAGGTCGATCCAGAGTGATTGTAGCTAAGCTCAACTCCAAGTTACTTAAAGACAACATCATTTCTCGTGCACGGAAGACACGATTGACTACAAAAGATATCGATTTACCAGGCGAACAGAAACATATTTTTATTAATGAACACCTCACTCCGTACAACAAACAGTTATTAAAAAAATCTAAAGACCTGGCCAAAGTTAAAAAATATCAGTTTGTGTGGATAAAAAATGGCAGCATTTTCATACGAAAGGACGATACTGCACATGCAATTCAAATTTTTACCGAAGAAGATTTAAAAAAGATCAGTGCATAACAATAAACAGTTATAATACTTCCTATTTATTAGTGATTCAGAGTTATTTTTGTCTATATTTACAACACCGTTATTTCAATACATTATTACCTAACATTATTATTCGTTATTCGATTAAAGTAAAACACAATACACAAGTAATATCGATGATTACAGTAAAATCAATAATGTTTTTATTAAAAATATTTGTTCAGCTAATACAGTCTGTGTATGCTGGCTTGGTCTATGACTGTTATACACAAGTACACAATAGTATCGTAAGTTTTTACAAATTACAATTTGAGTGGTGTCTTTGTAAAAGTATATTGGCGATATATATTTTCATATACACCGTGTACATCCAAAGACTTTATCCATCTTATTTTTTAGTTAATAAAATAAAATTGATGTACAATAATCTATCTCTGTGTACACTACATAACACATATATATACATTTACACTGCAAGCGCGGATAGTATTAGAACGCGAGCAATGGTAATTCATTACATGACTCACTCAAGTATTGTACTACGGTTGTGCACCGTACCTATAACCGCCAAAGTATATTGCACTAAGAGGAGAACGTCAAACTATAATTTCTTATTGCAATACCCTCGAGATTCGAACAAACATAAATTATTGTGCGTGTATAAACCGTTTAAAAGATTAACAATATTATTTAAAATATATTTTTGTACTAATAAAATTATTAACTCCAGGAACTGTGACTATGATAAACAGTTACAGAGTGTATTTGAATGGAATGGCAACCAACCAAGGCTAGGTAATGGCTTGGAACACTTATTCATTATATTATCATTATATATCACAGATGAGAAAATGTTGCATGTGTTACAATTTTGCGATGGATACTTAATAATACGACAAAATCATAATCATTACTATTCTATTTTCGATATAGTATGGTTGAACGAGTTGTTTTTATGCCTGATGCAAGTTTACAAAACTTTAATAGCAATATTAAACAGCGCTGTTTGTATGTTTGTGCATACTATCGTAATGGTGGGTTTTAAGCGATCTTTCATTTTATTTATTGTATATAATTATATACAAATAGTGTTAATTATTGATATTTTCTTGAGTTTATGGAAACGGGTTTTGATCACAGTATTATATTTAAGTTTCTACATTATAAATTCAAGTATAAAAATCTATAAATTATGTGTCCGTCATGAGATAGATAAACTAGTAATAAAAATGGATTATTCATTCCAAACAACAGTAGATGATGTGTTCAATCGTATATTCGGTAATCAGCTGTTCAACACTCTGTATAGATTACTTTTTAAATGTGTGTGTCACTACACAGTAATTGTTAACTCTCATATATACATACATAAATCATGTCATTATACTCATACAAATAATTTACTTTTAAATAAATATTATTGGAGTATTAGTCTATCACAGTGTTGAGTTCAAAAAGCAAAAAACCAAAAAAATTTGAGATATTCTACCAGAATACTCGCGGGATTCGTACTAAATGCCTACAACTACGACAACAAATCTTATGTAATGAATATGACATTATTATCATAACCGAGACATGGCTACATGAGGGAATTTACGACAGAGAATTTTGTGATGAGCGATATGACGTTTTCCGATGTGACCGTGACCCAGTATCAAGTAGAAAAAAAAGGGGAGGTGGCGTAATGATATTAGTTCGTAACGAGTTATGTGCCGCCCTCTGCGATTTTACAGAGCATAAACCACCGTCAGAGATGGTAACGATAATGATACCAGCGCGAGCGCTTGCGGCTACCGCTAACTTATATATTACTGCGGCATATATTCCACCTAATTCTGAACGTATCCCTGTAGATATAGACATCTTATTGAGAAATGTAAAAACAACTATAGAAATTACACAAAACTTTCAAAATTATTTAGTGATTGGTGATTTTAATCTACCCTGTATTACATGGGACATCGATGGCCCTACGCATATAACTACAGGTAATATTGATGTTCAGAGGGCGGGCAAGATACTGACAGATGATATGAGTTTGCTAGGCTTCAAACAATTTAATACAACAAAAAATCATGCCGGTAACACCCTAGATTTAGTTTTCTGTAATCTCCCTCTTGATATAATAAATTGTAGTTCACCGCTTGTTAACATTGATGGCGCACACCCAGCACTCTCAATAGATGTCTTAGATCTATCTGTGACACCATTAGTCGAAGCAACTGTACCTAAATATAATTTCAGATTAGGTAATTATGAAGAGATTAATACAGCTTTTAGTACAATTAACTGGGACTCGCTATTTAAAGGTAACTCAACAGAAAAAGCATGTGAAACCTTCTATGGAATTGTCAATGATACCATATGTCAATATATACCGCTTAAGGCCAAACATAGTACTCACAAATATCCTATCTGGTATAGCCTCGCCTTAATTAAAATTATTAAAGAAAAATCTAAAGCGCATAAAAAATGGAAAAAGTATGGTAACGAAATGGATTATGATGAATTTGCATTCTTACGAAAACGTCAACATCGCGTACAGATGAATTGTTTCTCGAGTTTTACTAAGCGAACCGAACAAGCAATTAAATATAGTTCAAAAGCATTCTGGTCTTATATTAAATCTATACGAGGCGGATCCAACTATCCAAAAAAATTTACATATGGCAAAAATGAGTTTACAGACGGTAAACTAATTTGTGACGCATTTAATGAATTTTTTGGAAGTGTATTTGGTACACCCTCAACCGATACAATTGAGGCGGAAGAATCTATCTCTTATAAAGACAATATTTCAAGATTATCAATATCTGTTTCAGCAGTTGAGAAAGCTTTATTACATCTGAATGTATCAAAAGGAGCTGGATGTGATGGTATACCACCGATATTTTGGCGAAACTGTTCTAAAACTCTAAGTCTCCCGTTAACAAAAATTTTTAATATGTCTCTTATCGAGGGTATATTCCCTGATGTTTGGAAAAAAGCGCATATAGTACCAATACACAAAAAAGGAACCAAAATAAATGTAGAAAATTATAGAGGTATATCAATATTAAATACAGTGAGCAATCTTTTTGAAAGGCTGGTTCTTGATTTCATATATCCAGTCATACATAAATATCTACCAGATTCTCAACATGGATTCCTTAAAAAGCGTTCCACTGTCACCAACTTGACATGCTTTTCTAATTATATCCTAACTAATATGGATAAAGGTGGTCAAGTTGACGTCATTTACACGGATTTCGAGAAAGCATTCGACCGCGTGGATCATCTGATCCTTCTGGGAAAACTCCAAACTCTGGGAATTCATGGGGACTTGCTTAGATGGATTGAATCGTATCTAAACAAACGCTCTCAGGCTGTTGTGATTGGGGGTTATAGATCAGATTTTATTGAGATACCGTCAGGCATTCCTCAAGGCTCCCACTTAGGACCTCTACTTTATAATGCTTACATATTTGATATTCCCACTTGTCTTACTTCCGTGAAACATCTAATGTACGCAGATGACAAAAAAATATTTCTTAAAATTGACAAATTAGAAGACTGCATAAAAATACAATCTGATCTAAGAGCTCTATTTCGTTATTACTCTGATAATAAAATAACAGTAAATATCAGCAAATGTGAGTGCATCAGTTTTACCAGAAAACCTAACCCTATTACATTTTTATATAATTTTAATGATGTCCCTATAAAGAGATCTAAGGTAGTAAGGGATTTAGGAGTCTATTTAGATAATAAAATGTTATTTACAGAACATATTGATAAAATTACCAATAAAGCGTATAGAAATCTTGGATTTATAATGAGAAGTAGTAAATCTTTTAATGATATTAACACCATAAAAATTTTGTATTACGCTTATGTCAGAAGTACTATCGAGTATGCTAGTACGGTTTGGTTCCCACAGTATAATATTCACAAAGATCGCTTAGAACGTTTACAGAAGATATTTATAAAAAATCTAAATTACCGATTTCGTAAGCCAAATTCAGCTGTTTATAAGGATAACTGTAAACAATACAATATATTGACACTTGAAGATAGACGTAAGCTGACGGATATCTGTTTATTACATGATATAGTAAACGGACGTCTCGATTGTCCAGATTTAGTATCGAGTATATCATACAATGTACCAATTAAACGTTCACGACGCAACACTCCACCATTACTACACATACAAAGAGCATACACCAACTACGCAAGGAACGCGCCACGAATACGACTACCGAAGCTGTATAACGATGTTTTTAGTGAAATCGATATATTCAGCATGGTGCGGCGGTGGCTATGATCTAGCCTTCTTCGATGGACTATATTGTTGTATAGGAAACTGGCTGGTCGTATATGAATGACTTACCCTACTTCAATGTGCTTGTTCTTCAGTGGGCCCACACGGTTACGGGAATCTCAGGAATTCACTCAGGTTGATTGCAACTATTAAGACATGCGTGCGATATGAGTGCGACGTGCGCGCGCGGCGAAAGCTATGACATCACTGATTATTGAATTAGCCGGGAGGGGTGTCAATGCACATCAACAAACCAGGTACGCATCGCGTTTGGCGTAACCATGCCCCCCGCCTTGACATAATGTCAAAGTAAAATTAACAAAAGAAAAAAAAATAAAGGAACTACACAATTGAACCTTATTGCGAATGCGACAAATACAAAAAACAAGAAAGAAAAAATACAAAAAATATCAAATGCGGAATTTACTAAATAAGAAAAATGCAAAGGATTTAACTTAACTTATTAACCTATTATAAATGCGTACTACCTATCTTATAGAATACATATTATTGCAAAGGCAATGGACATAATTTTACCACTGGCCTTTGAAAAATACCAGCCTTTGTTTTGACTGAGGCAACGCGAATAATGCCATCCTTACCCTTATAAACTCGTGTTATAAGACCAAGAGGCCAATGTAATGGAGTTAAATTCTCCTGCATAACAACTACTATCGTGCCTTCCTGGATAGGAAAGGCCGGCGTGTTCCATTTGCGTCTCAATTGCAACGTATGCAAATATTCCCGATGCCACCTCTTCCAAAACGATTGAACGAGTTGGTCTAAAAGCTCGTGTCGTTTCAAAAGATGAGGAATAGTGTCACTTACGTCATGTGCTGGGAAGTGTTTTAGCGGTATAGTGTTAAGAAAATGAGCAGGTGTCAATGCTTCCAGGTCCGACGGATCTGAACTTAAGACGGTCAATGGGCGAGAGTTTAATAGCGATTCTATTTGTGTAAGAACAGTCGTAAGTTCTTCAAAGGTTAAAATTTGTAGCCCAATGACTTTACTTAGATGGCTTTTGACACATTTTATATTACTTTCCCAGCATCCTCCAAAATGCGGTGCGTTAGGAGGGATAAGGGTCCATTTAATTCCATTGTTAGCTAATTCCTTATCCCAAACAGATCTACATTCTTGCGATAAAAACAAATAAAGTTCACGTAGGTAGGATCGTGCCCCTATAAAATTAGTACCATGATCCGTATACATGCATTGAATAGGACCGCGGCGAGCGAGAAAACGTTTTAACGCGGCGAGAAAACAAACTGTACTCAATTCACTTGCGAGCTCAATATGAACAGCCCGAGTGGTTAAGCACGTGAATAAGCAAACGTATGCTTTGCGAGTGGTTATACCACGACCGCGATAAGGGGTTACAAAAAACGGACCTGCGAAATCACAGCCACAATGGACAAAGGCTTTAGGAACTTCCTTCACCCTTAGTGCAGGCAGATCACCCATCGGTGGGAATGTAGGACGCGGTTTATTGCGGAAACAAATATTACAATTAGCTACGATCGTGCGAATCATACGTCGAGCTGCGAGAATCCAATATTTAGTACGTAGTATTGACATTAACCATTCTGGGCCTGTATGCAGGTTTTTACGATGAAAGTGTGTTACAATTAATTGAACTATATGATCTCTGCCCGGAAGTAATATAGGGTGTTTATAATCGAAATCTTCATCAGAATGAGTCAGACGACCACCAACTCTTAAGAGATTGTCTGATAAAAATGGATTTAATTTAATTATTGATGCGGTACAAGGTTTTTTATTATTTAACTTGCTAATATCGTTTTTAAAATGTGTGTGTGCAGCGGGCACAGCGCGAATAATTATACGTTCGGCGAAATCCAAATCGGAACTGGATATGACGCCGCGTGGAAGAATATTAGCGAACTTATAAATATAACAAATTACACGAAGTAATTTCATCCATGACGAAAATTTGCGAGCGAGCGAATATAAATAAGGTTCCATAGAATCTTCAATGGTAACCAGTGCGATAGGGTTTTTATTTCCTTCATCGGAAGCTAACTGAGCTACAGTACGTAACGCTAAGTACGGGCTGCAACGTAAGCCAAATGCAACTTTATTAAATTCAAAGACTTGGAGCGGTTTATTAGGACTAAATCTATATACAATACGTTGAAAACAACGATCTTGCGGGCGAACTTTTATTCGTAAATACATTTGTCGCACATCAGCTGAGATGGCGACTGCGAACAATCTCATATTCAAGAGAATAATAAATAAATCCTGTTGTAAGGAAGGACCTGTATGTAGAATATCATTAAGCGAAAATCCAGTACTAGACTTCGCGCTTGCGTCTAGTACCGGCCTTATTTTCGTGGACACTTTGTCCTCACGTAAGACTGCGTGATGCGGTATAAAATAACTAGGGCTGTTATTTTCAATTACGTCTACGGGAGAAATATATTGTTTTTCTATATATTCGTGAATTACCTCATCATAAAGGTATTTCAGTTGCGGTTGCGATGCGAATTTACGTTCCAAATGATAAAATCTGCGTTTAGCGATATCGAAAGAGTTCCCTAAAGACTTAGAACTATACTTAAATGGTAAAGCGACTTCGTAGTGACCTGATTCGTTACGAGTGGTCGTTGTGGTATAAAAATCTTCACAGTATTTATCGTCTATACTTGTTATTGGTTTGCGATCTACTTCTTCAATCTCCCAAAATTTGCGAATTAATACTGAAACCTCGCACGAAGTGGTGGAACAGAACGAGAATGAAGAAGACGTAGAAGTTAAGGTGGGAGCTTCACCTAAAATAAGATAACCGAGAACAGTCTCCAACGCGTTTGGAGTACCAGGTGAATTTATAATTTTACCTCCAGACAAAAGGGTCGCGAATAGATTGACACCAATCAAAAGGTCAATTTCTGATGGTGTTCCCCACGTATCATCTGCGAGCGGAATATTAGTTAAGTAACTGAGCGCGCCAACATCAATTTGACATGTTGGTAAGTTACCTGTTATTTTATTCAAAACTAAAGCGCGAATATTATAATATTGCTCATGATTAAATCTCGATCGGAAAGAGAGATCAACTGCACCCTTAACTGGTTCAGTGGCGCCACCTATACCCTTAACGGTGGTATGTGCGTCCGGCTGCATGGTTAAACCCAATTTTAAACAACACTTAGAAGTAATATAATGCTTTTGTGACCCGGGGTCCAATAAGCAGCGAATGACAACATCACTCCCATTACGAGCAGTAGCAAATACCTTGGCAGTAGCAAGTACTTCAGTCACATACGGCTGCTCATGAATGGACGATGAAAGCGTGCATAACGACTCCTTGTCTCCACCAGTGGTGGTTTCAATAGGAACGGGAGTTGGTTCTAATCGTGTCTGTTGTGTGGGTTGTGTGTGCGCAAGCGGAGGCAATTGCGACGAAGAAGATGGTGGTAATTGGCGACCGTGCGTGGAAGATGTCTGTGCGTTTTTCGTACCCTGAGATACTTGCGTAGGTGCGGAATTATTATTTTTAAAACAAAGCAACGTATGATGTCTCGGATTGTTACAATTTCGACAGGCGGAAGTTGATTGACAACTGAAAGAGTTATGTTGACTACTTAGACATCTAGTACACATACGGTTAGTTTTAATATAATTAAATCGATCATTAATTGTGAAAGTTGAAAATTGTTTGCATTTATATAATTGAGAATGTGAATCACCTTTACATAAGGAACAATAAATGCGTTGCGTAGGATTAGTACCTAAAAATGTACGTGGCGATCGAGCGATCGATCGTTGATGCGACTGTGCACGACCACTGGCGGACGCGGCGGCGGGACCGTCCAACTTGGTGGCGGCAGCGGCGCCGGCGGTGCGGTTACACGTGCGTTGTAATATTTTTACGTGTTGACGTATAAATTTTATAAAATTTTCAAACTGCGGTATGTCATCTTCTCCTCTAATTGATGACTCATACGACTGCGCGGTAGCCTGATCTAATGTCTTTAATCCCATATAAATAAATATAAAATCATCCAGCTTTTCAATTTTAAGTTGCTTTAATGCTGCGATAGTCGACGAGAAAGTATCAATAAATTTTTCTAAGTTTATTGCCGAAGGACCGTTAATTGATTTTAAAGAAAATAATTTATCTAAATATGACGTTGCAAGAGAGCGTTTATCTTGATACTTGTCGATTAAAGCTTGCCACAATATAGGATAATTTTCGGCTGCTGGTACTAAGCCAGCACACAGATTTCTAGCCTTTCCTGATAGGTGACTCATAAGATAATGAAAACGTTCTGAGTCCGAAAAGGATTCATTGTCATGAATAACCTGTTTGAATGTTTCGTAAAAGAAAGGAAATTCTAAAATATCACCTGAGAAGACTGGTAACACAATTTGGGGGATCCTTACTGATCCCTGTTTGTTGTCTGGTAAAGCAGACTGACAAGCGGGAGCTGGAGTTCGCGAAGATTGAGGTTGTAACGAGACCGCCATCATCTTTATAGAATAAAACATTTCGTCAAAAGCGGTGAGAGATTGATAATTAACTACATAATCAGGGTTTAGTTCCAAATTAAGGAGAATAATTTCATCGACAATTTTAACATACTCGGTGCGCATTTGATCGATCAGGCTAACTTTTGCAATAAAAACATTACGATGTTTCTCCATTTTAGTTTTCGAAGATAATTCATAAATAGACTGAAGTTGCGAAAAATATTGTGCACGTTTTGCTTCATACATTTTTAATTTTGCGTTTGTGTTAGCCATTATTATTATTTATATATATACTTCTTAAAAAATAACAACGGAAAACTAATTAAATGCGATATATAAAACTATGTGCGGTAATAACGTACAACTATACCTGTACTACCGTAAAAGGGCGAGCGATAAACAATAATAAAGTATAATAGGTATTTAATGTACTAAATACCTACAAGACAGACAGATGTACTTGTAGCGAAAATAAGTACACAAATGCGAGAAATGATGCGCGATAGAAACTAGCATACATAAAAAATATATGCTTACTATGCTATAAAACTACTAATTAATAATGCGAAAAATAGGTACAACTATTATCTATATATACCTATATGCGAGAAAAATAAAATAATGCATAAAAGCAATATTTTAAATATGCGGTGCGAGAAGTAAATCACAATAACGTTTTAAACACTAAAGCGCGTGACAAATAAATTTATATATACCTACTCATAAGCGGTAGTATGTAGGTACATACGTGCGACAATACGGAATATAAACTATACATAAAGCGAAATCGAAGTGAGTGATGTCATAGAAAATCAGATAATATATCTATAACTATAACTAAAAAGATATAAAATAACTATGTTCACAACTATTATTTTACGCGGGAGTATTCTAAAGTGCATACACTAAAATACTAACAATCTTAACATTCAAACACTACAATCATCATACATAATATTCGACAGGTAATATTGTTTCGTCAAATAGTATAACGACAACTATAATATTTCTAGAAGCTTCGATCGATCGAACAATATCGATATAATGCGGGTGAATGTGAAATTAAATGAACGAAACAACGCAAACAGATATAAAGCGAAATTGAAGAATTGAGCTGCGAGTTATGAACAATTCATAAGCGACATAAATATAAACTTATTTATTAACGAAAATACCAATGTATCGTTATATTTGTGCAACCGTGGTATGCAATTTGAATAGATCCTATTACATGCGCAATAAGGTTCAATATTACATGCGAGTCATTCACTCGACTTTCACAATAGGAAAAAATTAAAACAAATTTTAAATAAATAAATTGCGATTCCTATTGTGATCCGGCGACGGAAGGCCAATAAATGGTGCGGCGGTGGCTATGATCTAGCCTTCTTCGATGGACTATATTGTTGTATAGGAAACTGGCTGGTCGTATATGAATGACTTACCCTACTTCAATGTGCTTGTTCTTCAGTGGGCCCACACGGTTACGGGAATCTCAGGAATTCACTCAGGTTGATTGCAACTATTAAGACATGCGTGCGATATGAGTGCGACGTGCGCGCGCGGCGAAAGCTATGACATCACTGATTATTGAATTAGCCGGGAGGGGTGTCAATGCACATCAACAAACCAGGTACGCATCGCGTTTGGCGTAACCACAGCATAAAAAAGGTAACATTTAAATCTAATGCTACACAGTTATTACTTCGTAGAAACTAACTAGTAAAATTTGCATAAATTAGATGGTATAAGCATTATATTGTATAAATTAGACTTGTGGATAAACAGAACAATAATATGTTAATACTTTAGTGATGTAATACTGAATATTGTAATTGTGAGAAAACCTTTAATTGGCCTTATATTTAAGTACATATTATTTGTTATTATTTGTATTTCGCTGTTGGTTTTCAAAATAAAATAAAAAAAAAAAAAAAAAAAAAAAGAAACAATAAATATTCAGTGTGGAAATCTGACCACCGCTACTGGAAATGCTATGACCTTCTCTATATGTGATCAAATTACGACTGTTATTAGATCTACGGTACGTATGGTGGTACGCGGTACGTATTTCGCCTTAACACGAGGCATTATCAGTCAATTAATAATAGAGTTTGGATTTTGAAATTTAATACTGTTTGGATTTTGAAATTTAAAAGCGGAAACCTTGGAAGTCTAGTTTTGACTGTTCGGCGCCCAGACTACGACTCAAACGCCGAATAGACAACACTAGGCTTCCGCACTGAATACCTGTGGTCTCACGCATGCTAATTGTAGCGAAATTGAACAAAATAATATAAAACCGTTAAGCAAAGAATTGGATTTCCACAAAATAGCATAACATATAACAGAGTTACACGATTTTATATAGAATCTACCTCTAATAGCCTACCTAATTATTCGAATTGCCATGTACTACATAAATAACAGTTACACCGTAAATTCAACATGGCATACCTACTAAAATGACAATGTTTAAAATGAAATATGAATAAAATTTTAATGAAGCAAACATTGTAATAGGTAGCTATCCTGTTGTTTGGCATAATATTAATAAAGAGTTGGTAATGTTTACCTTGCTTTGTTTGAATTTAGTAATAACTTTGTTTAAATGAAGAGCTCGCCTCCTGCGGCCTAGGATTAATTATCCTTAGGTATTTACTCAGCTTTGTATGTTAAACATACAAAAGTCAGAACATTTTTAGGCTGTATTGACTTAAACCTAAAGTTAAGTGAAAATATATGTCATACAGTAACTATGAATACTCATTTTCTATTTCGGTTGTGACTTTATTTTAAGAATGTATGTATACTTATATCTACTATCTGCAACTACCTACTATCTACTATATACTAATATTATAAATAGGAAAAGTGAGTTTGGATGAACCGGATTGTAGCCGGTACTACTGATCAGATTTTGAAAATTATTTCAGTGTCGGATAGCCCATTTATTGAGGAAGAATATAGGCTATATAATATTACCTTAACGAACAGGAGCGAAGCTGCAATGAAAAATGTAGAAGAAATAAGGAGAATATGACGTAGGCGAAGTTGTACGAGGCAGTTAGTAAACATACATATATGTATATATACATATGCACATAGTGCTAGTAATATATGTTCAATAAATAAATATTATTATAGTACAGTGAGGACGGCAGTTGTTCATAATGAAGATTAGTGGCACCATTGCTAGCAATGCACCATCTCAGTTCGACGCACGCAGCCTACCCTGAATAATATTATTTCCTTCCTTCCTGGGCTAAAACACCTGACCTCATTCTATCAAACTTCAGTTGTCTGCCAGCATATATCATCAGCGTAAGTGGGTGCACTATGCCATTTTCATCCATAAAAAATATAGTATACAAAAATTGTTATTTGCACTATTGAAAATCGGATTTTAACATATTTTTTTATATCCAATGATAACATCAGGGATGACATTTCAGAGTCGGATTTAGAAATAAATGTTAGTTAAATAAATGATGTATAAAATTATTCACAGTACCCATTAAAGTAATTAACATAAATAGAAATTAAACATGAATAATACAGGAAACTAAAATCACGGCTGTAACGTAATCCATAATCTGTTAACACAAAAGCGTTGTGCCATAGCCATAATCCGTTGATAGCATTTAAAGCTACAGAGGGGTGGCTAGGAACAATAAAAACACAATAGTCTATTGTGGTGGTTTCACTAATGGATTAGTTAACATGTTGCAATTTCATTTGTACTTACATTAAATTAATATTGTTATACTATTAGTTTAACAATAAAGTAACAATTACGCGCCTAACTGTTGGCAGACTAACAATTCTAATTCTAAAATTCAGAAATTTTAGGGTTTATAATTGTTTACAGTTTCACCAAAGTAAAAAGTAACTATACATCATTCTCATCTATTTCAGCCGCCAAGAAGCTTACTTTGTAAGCTGTATTTAGATTGTAGGGTGAGATTAGGCAGTGAAATTATAAGATAAGAGGCACATGGCATCTTAGTCCTCTAGAATGAAAATGCATGCATGGTATTACGGAGTCCCATCCAATACAAACGGGGATTTAAATCAACCTGAGCCGAGGTTCGAACCCCTAGCGATCCCCTCAGACTAAATTCGTATCCATAAGATGGGAGTGGTGGGCCTTTACTCCATAAATTCTTCTGCGGTTTTGGAGTGCCACATGCACTCGCTCCCTATCGTCCGGTGAAGCTATAAAGGCAAGTTGCGGCCAACAGCATTAGAGTAGTCCGAAAAAGAATGGTATCACGGGTATCAAATGATAAAGTGACAGCAGTTCTACGTACATATACCTATTTAGGCTTAGTTTAGTACAAATATTATCTTACTATTAATATGTAATATTATATTATCTGTGCTATTAATATATAGGTAGTTACTACTTATTTTATTGCTTGAGCACTGCTAATTTTAATATCTATTTAGAGCTCTTTACTTCACGGATATAAATCTATGCCTTACACAAATAATAGATATGTACATTGCTTGAGTAATTGCAACATTACAAATGCCCAAGCTTAATATTCGCATACAAGGACCCATGAGATAATGTAACCGAGCGGTCAATATCCAAAAGTCAGCGGGCATAGAGCACCTCTCTCTATGTCGTCGTAATACTTACTTCAACTCTTGTTGTAATGTGCTGGTAATATTATAATTTGATTTTCAGACATATCGACTGACAAATAGTACCTACCAACCTTTTTTTACAGAAGCTATTTTATGCAAAGCAAAGTAGATTACTATTACTTATCTATATTTACTTTAGACGGCTACCGCTTCCCATCAGGTGGACTGTAAGCTCGTTTACCATTTCAATTATATAAAAGTATAATTGTAGTACTAATTCGTGCATTTAATTTCTGGAAACCTTATTAGTACCCTATACAGAACTACATAAAAATAGCGATAACTAGACGCACACGACTGCAATTTATTAATCCAAAAACATTATTCACACTTCTGACAACAATACAGGAACAAAATGCCCCTTCGTAAAAAGTCACACACTATTATACCACGCTATTATGCCACGTGGCAACCGTAACCATATCGCGACTCAGGGATTGCTACTTGAAACGACGATAAATCAGGACTGTCATTTACCACAATTGTGGGGTTCTTTTGTAAACGGAATCTCCTACCCTATAATGCTGTTCTGATATCTACAATTGATCTATTCTTCGAACTATTTACTGAGGAGATATTAAATACAGCAATATAGATTTGTTATCAATACATGCAATGGATTTACATTACACATGTCTTAAGTAAGTTTATGACTTTGTATGATAAAATACTTTTCAGATTGTTCACGAAAATATTAATTGAAGATAAATAAGTGATATATAAGTGAAAATCAGATCAAACCGCTTTTATGTAAATAAATATCAGAATGATAATATTTTTTTTACGTATAACATACTTTAGTTCGGATTTTTATTATGTATATAGGTAAAGTAATTCTATAATACTTAATATTAACATATATTTCTATTTATTTCCACAGAGGTCCGTGCCCCTTGCTATTAATTTAATTGCATCTTTTTTTAATTTTCTACAATGTTCCGCACTAATTATTACACACTATTAGATTACAATTAAAATTAAACTTAGACCGAATAATTTATACTAAAACAACAACCTAAATATATATAACTCAAAGGTGACTGACATAGTGATCTATCAACGCACAGCCCAAACCACTGGACGGATCGGGCTGAAATTTGGCATGCATGCAGATGTTATGACGTAGGCATCCGCTAAGAAAGGATTTTGATTAATTCTACCCCCAAGGGGATAAAATAGGAGATGAAAGTTTATATGAAAATTTGTCAATTTTAAATCGGGCTGAGATTTTGCATGCATAAAGCTACTATGATTTAAGCATCCCCTAAGAAAGGATTTTGATAAATTACACCCCTAAGAGGATAAATTAACGCGAGCGAAGCCGCAGGCAAAAGCTAGTAAATGAATAAATTCAAAATGAGAAAAAGTAAAAAAATATTTTAAAAGTTAAACAAAATTAAACAATTTTAAAATAACATTGGAAGATTATTAATATTTAAAATAATTATATTATTATTAAAACAAAACATTACTACACTGTCACTGTCAATCCAGAGTAGTTCAAAATAATGCCCCTGGCATTGGCAACTGTCGACGTTCTGGTAAACGCAACATTTGACATGCTCACATTTGGCTGGGTACATTTGAATATATCGTGATAGTTGGCGGAACCTACGTTTTTTGGATTAATTTTATGTGTTAAGTTAGTCAGAAGTACAACTTGACGCACAGACTCTTTTTAGTATCAGCCAGATTTCAACTCATGACCTTTTTAATCGCAACAATGAACTACTAGGCTACGATACACTCACATCTTACTAATATTAAAAACGTGGAAGTTTGTGAGTATAGATGAATGGATGGATGTATGTTTGTTACTCTTGTACATAAAAACTGAATGGACTTTAATGAATTTTTGCAAATAATATAGCTTATACATTAGAATAACACATAGGCTAGAAATTTCACGCAAGTGAAACCGCGGGCACAGCTAGTATTATATGAAATATTATAGAATAACCTTTTGTTCTTTATAACATTGGAGTGGGGTCATAATCAGTCTCCGATCTTACTACATACCTTGAACTCGTACATAAAATCAATATGACTCATTATTCTTGTATCGAATAAACTTAACTCCGATGTTAGTTTTACTAGAATGGATATGAAGTAATAATTTGTAACGTTCCAACTTCATAGTTTTCCAAATCTTAAATACATGGAAATAAAATATCAAATGTATTTTCTTAAGTAGAATGACAAACAATAATATGAGTTTTATATAACTGAAATGGAACATAAGGAAACCTATTACGTATTCACACACTTAAACTTAAATTGTAAGTATGAATAAATTATTTAAAAGAGCAACACACAAGTTTCTTGCTTGTTCTTCTTGTGATGACACAGCATTCCGAATGAGCGGTAGATTAAAAAAAAAAATGTTATGACTATTCAAAAGTGCTACAATGTAAGTTTATTTGAATAAATTATTTTCTATTATATTCTATTCTATGCTTATTAATTTTTATTGAATCATAATTCATCATGACTAAGGCCCTCACTGGGCACTGCAAATTGAATATACATATGGCAAACCTAGGCACTACAAAATCTGCAGATTTTGCCTAGCTTAAGAGGACACGCCACTACACACCCTGTGTGTAGCCCACTCATGCATAAACGAAATATCTCCTTTATGATATCTTGAGGAAACAAAAACCATCGCTCCTAAAAATATCCTGCAATTGGGTCTAGGTAGCGAACTCTGAAAAAGGGCGAGTACAATAGATCTATGTAGGTCGAAGTACCTGACAATAGTCCAAAACACTCAATGACAAAATACAAATTTTTAAAGTTTCGCGTTTGATACACATTATTAATATTGTTAAACGGGTTTTAACCCTAATAATTTTGTGGTAAATGAAGGTATTTACCTCTCCCGACATTTCGTTTAGGTTGTACTAACCGGGGTCTGTTCGTGGCCTCGGCTAGTATATTATTCGTGCTAAAACCCATTTAACTATATTAATAACTAGCTAACTTACTTCTGATGCGTTAATATTTCAGAAAACAGATATTATAGAATTATATTCTATATATATATATATAGAAATATCCAGTAGTTTCATTGACGTATCTCATCTACAAACTTAGTATAGAAAGAAGTTGCTTTAATCAGCTCTAATATGAGCGACAGAAAAGAATAATTACATGTATGTTAATACACATAAAGTAATTACTTAAAATTAAACCTACAAAATAAGTATACACAAAAAACTAAATTTCTAATCAGAATTATTAATAACTATTTGTATTAGTTAATCGAAACTATAATAGTTGAAGTTTTAATTAGGTATTCAAGTTGAAGTTACGTTGACAATTGTATGTAGTTTCTGTACGAAACTAGTTAACAACTTGATAACTGGAGGTTATTCAGCCGAAGAGGAAATAACAAGGGTGGCTTAACTTTGGCATTAACTCATCATAAATAAAAGAAAAAATATTTTATCATTATCATTAGAAATAAAAAATATATTATTTTAGTTACGACTAAATGTTTTCTACTACTTTGTCCGAATGGAATTTAACTTGTATTATTAAAATAAATAAACATTCAAAAATAAAAATAGCTTAAATTACTCCTTCTAACATTAGCAATCTGCAAGCGAAAATCCCGTCAAATTCTGTCCAGGTATTTTAGCGATTTGCAAGAAAAAGCAGGCATCAATTTATAAAATTATTTTTATGTTCTTGCATTGCAAGTACTTGCATATGCAAGTAGTGAAATGTCCTTAATTTAAAATTACAAATAGACACTTTATGTATTCAGCTTCTAGTATGAAATTAATTAAATACTTGGTAACTAGAGGTTATTTACCAGAAGAGGAAATAAAAAACTAGTTAGTTATTCATTCGAAATAGTTAAGTTCGAGTCTTACGAAGACAAAAACATAAAAGCTAAAATTTGATATTTATACATAGAGATCAACAATAATAATGTATTCATTAGAAGCATGACTGGAAATATAATAAACGGATTAGCGTTTCTGACACAATTACAATGTTTTATTGACGACAGTCTAAATACAAAACAAACCTTGTTAATTTATTACAAACGTCTTAAAATATCTGCGTATAATAAAAACAAGTACACAAACACCTATCTTCAGTCTCGCTCCCACTTCTTTTGGTGATATTAGTAAGTCCCATTTATAAAATATCTTTTCTATAATAGCGAATAATGTTTTAAGCCGGCATCTGATATGGATTCAGATAAATAAATTTGTAAGAAAAACTAACTTTGTGGATGCTGCCTAAGAAGCTCTGGGACCAGCTAATAAAAATAGTTACCACGGCGGTTTTTTATGTAATTTGAATTATATATATTAACTGCAAGTTCTTGAAATATGCTATTGGAAAAGCTGGAAATATAAAGAAAGAAATGAAGAAGTACTACATAAAAGAAGGGTGAGAGGAAAATGACACATATTGAATACTGTAGAAAATAGACGAGGGAAAATGTTAGGATACTTGATACAGCGCAATGAATTTATGAAAATTATTATTAAAGGAAGAATAGAAGGAAAGAGGAGGAGGGGAATATCAAGGCACAGGCAGATACACCAAGTAAACTAAAGACAAAATTGCAGTTATATGGTATCCACATTTAATCAAGAGACAAGGTCGTGGCTCTTAAATTATGAAAGAACGATAAATGGCAGACCATCGGACCTCCCGATGAAAAGTAGCAACTAACTATAACTATATACGTGAACAGCAGAGATCACGTCATGTAACGCTCGTAAGTACCCCCTCTAAGTAAATAAGTAAATGTCTGCGAACTCTGTAATTTTGAATAAGAATTTGTTTCTCGTAGTCTCATGCTTTTGCAAAACATATGTGGTGATGACACTTGGCACCTGTTTTGACAATACCCGATGGTCTGTACTGACTCTGCGTATATTCTTATTTAGTTATATTATATATATGATATTTTTTCTGGCATTTAAAAATCATTTGCAAATCTTACTGCGTAGCTTTTTCCTATTAAATATAAAAATTAAATTTGTTTTTGTTAATTTATTATTAATAATATATAAGTCCATCACTTCATTTATCTACATCATTAAAGAGATCACCCCTTTTACGAAATATAAATAACAATGTAATCTGATATTGACATTGCTATAATTGCACAAATTAATATCTCCATAATTAAAATATAAATAGGTCTATTACGATCGGAGAATTTTCCGAGGATTCTACATATAAAGAATTGAATCAAGAGATAAACATCTAAATATTCGTTGGTCTCGGTGATCTAGCGGTTTAGCGCACCGCCTTACTTCCGATGGTCGCGGGTTCGATTCCTCGCATGGCGCAAATATTTGTAGTCATGAGTGTGATTATTTGTATCGGTTTGGTTGTTTTTTGTGTATAATATGTATGTATTACACGAAAAAAAAATATACTAATGTGTATCAGTAATCTAGCACCCATAACACAACCTTTAGCTAGCTTAACTTGGTTCTAGATGGCGCTGTGTGAATTGTCCTTAGATTATTATTATTATATAAATGAAAAAAAAAAGTTAATAAGTATAACAGTAACAGTACATTATTAAGTATACGGAATAACTGCATTTTTATTAATAAATAATTTAATGTGTGTAATTGTCATTACATTTAATGTATCGGTAACTCAGAATCATGTCAGGTCACGATAATGTTTAAAAAATTATACAAAAAAGTGAATAACTATCTACTTGGGCTGACCACGTACTCTAAATAATAGCTTCGTTTTTATTTTCCTAATTAGTTCAGTAATTATAATACTACAAGGAGTACCCGTGACGAATAGACTCCCATTATCATATGACGCTCGTAATGCTACTCATGCATTGCTATACAGAATCGAGTTGTCATGCCTCTTATCCGATAAATCAACTGCTTTACCTGACTCTTTAACCAAAACATATTTTGCAATGGCGGTTGAAATAGTTAAGACTGAGGCACCATACGTAGACGATTTTTTGCAAAGTCTACCTTGGTTAGACAGAATATTAATGGAAAATCGGGATTTGGGAAAATGTAAAATAAACAGAGACAAAAGAACAGAAGCGTTTCCTACACAATATATTTCTTCGTAGAAAAGGCATATAAAAAGTATGGACAATACAAAAAAGATAGTACAATAGTAGGTACGTAACATTGTAAAGAAAATATCAAGTCTATTCAACTCAACCCTACATCTTAGTTCTTGACATATCACACCGTACCCATAGGTATACCCGGTTCATAAATTATGAATCTCTCGCACGATACAATCTAGAGGCAATGGGAATATTATTCTGTGATCGTATCTCTCCACGCATGTATGTTTTTCAAATTTTCGCTTACAGAAAACACATGTTACGTCGTTTTATCAATCTCGGGCTATTTTTTCGTTTATATATTTTTCGAGAGTGTGATAGAGATAGGATTAGTGGTTTAGTGTTACGTTTTAGACCGAAATGTAGTAAATTTAAATTTTACTGATAAAATAAAATCTGTGTTAGTTTAAAATTTCAGACTTTCCGGAACCGCAGCAGCACATTTTGTAGTCACCACGATGCACATAGAAATTTGACTACCACATCTGACATAACATTCGTGAGGATATGTAGAAATGTTATCGACTTAATATCATATTCTCCATCATTGCCTTGTTTTTATCCCATTATTTGGGGATGGCGCAGTATGTCATTTTCTTCCACTGATTTCCATCAGCCGTCAAATCTGAGCGTACTCTTCTTTTATTCATGTCATCTTTCATACAATCCATCCATCTTTTTTAGGGCGTCCTCTCCCTTTCCATCCATCTACGTTCATATTATACAGTTTCCTTAAAACATGATCCTCGTTCCTCCGTATGGTATGCCCATACTAAATATCATGTTCTAAATATATAATTCCTATATTATTATCATTTTTTTAAAGAAACATTTTTCAATAGATGGTTATATAGAATGGTGCATCTATCTGCACTAATGGTATATACTAGCGAAAAGCATCACTGAGGATGAGGATGTAATTAGATCAGTTAGGACATTATAGCGAATACTAGAAATT